CAGGCTTGCGTCAACAGCAAGAGGGGACTGCAGGTGCTTTTTGTTTTGGTGGCTACCTTATCAGACCTAGAAAAGGATTTGTGATGGGAATGTTCAGATGTCCCTCAGAAACCAGCCATTGCCCCTCTGCCATCCCACTGCCATTTTTAGGTGTAAAAATGTAAGGTGGTTTCTGCTTCTGGCATTTGTATCAGGAATGGTAATTCATACCTGAATGCTAGCAGTAGAGTTATTTTAATGCTAAGCAAAAGAAGACGTCGTTGTTCCAGGATATTTCATTTCCAGAAATTCCTTGAGAATAGGGGGAGAAGGACTTCAGCAAGCTGAAAAAGTATCACTCAGCTGGGGCAAAGAGCCAGACACTACCACCTCCTTTCCTCTAAGCTGGAAATGCCTGTATTTTCCCTACTGGTGCTAGAAACCCTTCAAGCTCTCCCTGTCTCGTCTGTCTCCCTGCTGCCTCTCTAGTCACTGAGAATACTTTTCCCATTGCTCTGGCATATATTAGGAGTAAGCTGGGCAGTTAATGGGATGTTAAACTCTACCACTGTGGAGAACATGTGTTTGAGAGCCCAAGTTATAATTAAGAATAATCTCTACATAGATTATCTCCACAAATGGTAATGGGTTCTGTAGCATCCTGCTACATTTGGTTGAATGGAGTTTTCTGTTTTGTGTTTTCAGAGAAGTAAGGGGTTGGAGGGAGCTGCTCCTATAAAACATATGCCAAAGAGCAATTTTGGAGCCAAATGTCCTGGAGTACCCAACCACAAGTTAACCTCTCTGAACTGTACCACACTTTCCCATCTACGTAATGGAATAATATTTTCTTCCTCTCAGGAGTGTTGTTGAAAAATAATGTAATAGATAGTGTCTCAGTCCACTTTGTGCTGCTGTAACAATACCTCAGATTGGGTGTGTGTGTGTGTGTGTGTGTGTATGTGTGTGTGTGTGTGCGCACGCGTGTGTGTGTGATGCTTTTGGGTTTTTTTGTTTTTTGAGATAGGATCTGGCTCTGTTGCCCAGGCTAGAGTGCAGTGGCATGATCTCGACTCACTACAACCTCTGTACCTCTGCTTCCCGGCTCAAACCATCCTCCCACCTCAGCCTCCTGAGTAGTTGGGACCACAGGCATGTACCACCACACCCTGCCAATTTTTGTATTTTTTTTGTAGAGACAGGGTCTGACTTTGTTGCCCAGGCTGGTCTTGAACTCCTGAGCTCAAGTGATCCATTCCCTTCAACCTCCCAAAGTACTAGGATTACAGGCTTAAGTCACCATGCCTGGCCTAGATTGGGTAATTTATGAAGAACAGAGATTGGTTTCTTACAGTTCTGGAAACTGGGAAGTCCAAGGTGGAGGGGCCCAAATCTGCCGAGGGCCATCTTGCTACATCATCCTGTGGCTGAAGGTGGAAGGGCAAGGGAGGGAGAAGAAGGAGGCCAAACTTCATCCTTTTATTAGGAACCCACTCCCAAGATAATGAGCCTACTCCAGCGATAACAGACAGCATTAATCATTCATGAGGGCAGAGCTCTCATGACCTAATCATCTCTTAAAATTTCCACCTCTTAACACTGGCATTGGGGATTGTTTCTAACACACAAACTTTGGGGGACTCAGAAAATGTTACTTCCCCTCCTAGCCACCTTTTAGATTGTTTCATGGGAAATGTTTTCAGATTTCACACAACTAGGAAAGATATGATCACTGTCTGGAAAGAGTCTTAGTTGGGAACTGCTTGTATTAACATCTCTCAGCCTTTAGTATATTCTTGTCCTGAAGAAACACTCTAGTGGGGCATAGTTTTTCAAACTGCAAGTGGTTGTAAAATCAGTTTAGTAAATTATGACCAGCTTTTCTTTTTAGTGAAATAATAAATTAGAAAATAACACGTGGTAAGGATATGGTTTGGTGAAACTTGTTTTAGGTTTATATACATATGAATGTATATGTTGCATTTGATGTAAAAATCATTGCTTACTGTGGGTTGTGGTTAAAAAAAAAAAAAGTTTGCCGGGCGCAGTGGCTCAAGCCTGTAATCCCAGCACTTTGGGAGGCCAAGGCGGGTGGATCACGATGTCAAGAGATCGAGACCATCCTGGTCAACATGGTGAAACCCCGTCTCTACTAAAAAAAATACAAAAAATTAGCTGGGCATGGTGGTGCATGCCTGTAATCCCAGCTACTCAGGAGGCTGAGGCAGGAGAATTGCCTGAACCCAGGAGGCGGAGGTTGCGGTGAGCCGAGATCGCGCCATTGCACTCCAGCCTGGGTAACATGATTGAAACTCCGTCTCAAAAAAAAAAAAAAAAAAAAGTTTGAGATACAAGAGGATGCCTGAACCAAGACAGCAGTGGATCATCTTTGTATTCCTCTTCCCTTTGTTCCTGCGCCTTTGATCCAGGATCTTGCTCTATCACCCAGGCTGGAACGCAAGTGGTACAGTCATGGCTCACTGTAACTTTGAACTCCTGGGCTCAAGCAATCCTCCTACCTCAGCCTCCCGTGTAGCTAGGACTTACAGATGTGTGCCACCACACCCAGCTAATTTTTTTTAAATTTTTTGTAAAGATGGGGATTCACCACATTGTCCAGGCTGGTCTTGAACTCCTGGCCTCCAAAATGTTGGGATTACAGGCATGAGCCAACATATCTGGCCTTTTATTCACATTTTAAAAAGAAAAAGATTTATCTTCTACCTCTAAGAAATACCAGAGTAAGGGGTCCAGAGGCCATTGTGTCCATAATTGGAATAACATTGAATGCCAAGGGTCTTATAAGCATAATCAGCGAAAACTAGGAACACATCATCTCTGCTTACCTGCCCAGATTTCCCTCATCCTGATGTGGTCCATCCCCAGTTTCTCAGTAGTATGGGGATATTTTTGAAGCTTTACGTCTAAAACCAATAATGACAGGACTGACTTTGGAAGTCAGGCTCCCTGGGTTTGACTTTAAGATCCACTACTTGGTGTTTGTGTGGTCAGATGTCAATCGTTGTTTTTTTTTTTTTCGAGACGAAGTCTTGCTCTGTCTCCCAGGCTGAGTGCAGTGGTGCGATCTCAGCTCACTGCAACCTCTGCCTCCCGGGTTCAAGCGATTCTTCTGCCTCAGCTTCCTGAGTAGCTGTGATTACAGGCTCATGCCACCACACCTGGCTAATTTTTGTATTTTTAATAGAGATAGGGTTTCACCATGTTGGTCAGGCCGGTCTCGAACTCCTGACCTCAAGTGATCTTCCCACCTCAGCCTCCCAAAGTGCTGGGATTACAGGCACGAGCCACCGTGCCCGGCCCCAAGTCAATAATTCTTAAAAGTTTTGGTCTCAGGGCTTTTCTTATACTCTAAAAATTGTTGTATGTATCATATTTGCTTCATTAGAAGTAAGTTTAAAAAATATTTACTAATTCATTTAAAAATGATAACCCATTATAGGATAACATAAATAACATTTTTGTGAAAAAAATTTTCAAAAATAACCATTTAGTGAGAAGAGTGGCATTGTTTTACTTTTTTGCAAATCTCTTTAATAGCCAGCATAATGGGAAAAAAGCTGAATTATCATAAGTGCTTCTGTATCTGGATTCTCATCTTGTTTTGGTTGAAATACATGAAAAAACTCCGACCTCACATTGATATGTAGTTAGAAAAGAGTAGGGTATTTTAATAGCCTTTTCAGGTCATTGTACATAATCTTTGATACTATACCAAAACTCAGCAAGTGGTAGTTTCTTAAAGGTTAGTTGTAATATAGAATCTGATACCATGTCAGTTATCTTTTTATACTCTGTTACATTAAAATCCTTCAGTCTTTGACTCTTTCCCTATGAACAGATCTTTCACCCATGCACGATTTTGTAACATCATGCACTGATCATTTAGAAAACATTGGTTCACCAAGTTATGCGGATTTTCCAAATGTTACCACATCGCATTACACAACATCAGAAATATTTATTCATTAATATCCCCACTGATCTCACCAGAAAAGTCTGAGTATTGGAAAAGTGTCAAACTCACAGTGACAGTGAGTTTGGATACAAGTTTTCCAAAATTCTAGTTTTCACTTGGAAGCTCAAATTTTATCCTTGGCAACAAAAACTATTTCTTGAAGCAACAGGCTCTCTTCATTTGTAGTTTCAGAAAGACAAGTGTGAGCAACCCTAGTTTGTCTGTCAGTCATCCTTTCATGTTTCATAAGAAAAGAAGCTAGTTCAGCTCCAACTCAAACCAGTGCTTTTCCTCCAGAAAACCATCATCACCGCAGTATGCAGCAGGAATGCTTTATGTGTGCTTTCCATTTCATTCCACAGAGTATTAAAAAGATGTGTACTCTGGGGCAAAGGTGTAATTAATCATTTTTACTACTTCGTCATGACATTCTTTAGTTTTTTTGTTTTTTACTGTGAGCCTGCAGCAATGAAAAGTACGATAATTAGCAGTACTGTTTAGGGCCACTGCCCTGATTCAAACCAGGGTGCCAGGCGTCTTGCCCACCATTGCTTTGCTCCATTGCAAAAATGTCAACAGAGTGACATTTTAGCCCCAGTTTTAGGATTAAGAAAACAGTTTTGACCCTGAAAGTGTCTCAGGAACCCCAGGTATCCACAGGCCACACTTTGAGAACTGCTAATCTGAAACCTGTGGTCACTACCTCATTGTATTGTTTAGGGGATTATGTGAAATAGTAAAATTCAAGGAACAGTTCCTGACACATAGTAAGTTATATGGTATAATATAGTAAATGTTAATTATACGTTTACATAGTCAATGTTAACTATTATTATTACTGTTATTCTTTTTTTTTTTTTTTTTTTTTTAAGATGGGGTTTCACCATGTTGGTCAGGCTGGTCTTGAACTCCCGACCTCAGGTGATCCACCCACCTTCGTCTCCAAAGTGCTTGGATAACAGGCGTGAGCCACCACGCCCGGCCATTACTATTATTCTAAATTGAAATATGTATATATGGGAAGATAAGAAAGCTAGAGGGTACAGAAAGCCATCTAACATTTATTTAACATCTTTTACATGCCATTCATTAGTGTAGGTGCTTTATGTTCATCCACATAAAACATCACAGTTGTTCAATCCACAAAACAACCCTAAAAGAAAGTAACTCCTCCATTTTACAGATAAGAAAATAGGCTTAGAGAGATTAAACATTTTATTCAAGGTCACAGGGCTAAAAGAGTAGCAGAATTCTCAGTCACTTGATTCTGCTTATCAGACACAGGAGTAGGACTTCAGGTTAGGAAGAAGGGGCTAGAAGTTGACCAGGAGGGAAATGTACACTCTCTCTCAAGTTTAGGACAAAGAGAGCTATCTAAACCCTGCTAGCTTCATGTATTCATCTGAGAAGTGCAGATTTCTTGGCCTTCTCACTTGTCCCTAAGAGGAAGCCCAAGAAGAGACATTCTATTTTAGAAAACCACTGTCTGAGGAAGTGAAGGCATTGAATGGGTAGTGTTAGTTTCTGAGACCCTCAAGACCACATAGAAGTACAACCACACTCTCAGAGGGGTGCAAGGAAGCATAGATCCCTCTGTTACCCAGCTGACAGCTGACCTATAACTATCCTAGTGTCATTAACCTACAAAAAAACTGGAGGCAATTAAGCATGAATTGTTACTGTTACAATCAAGCCACAATTTACACATCCAATGGGTATTTCACTTTCAAAGCTGTCCTCCTGGGGGTCTATATATTTAACTCTGCTGCTATCACTTAAAATGGACATGGCAATTCCATCTTTCAGAATTGTATCTTTTTCCTTTCAATATAGTTTCAAATTTTAGAAACAGCCACCAGTCGTTTGAGCCCAAATATGATACCTAATTTGATTTAAGAATAGGACATAATTGGCTAATCTCAAATGTTTGGTTTTTGGACAAAATTTAGTCAGTTCAGAACAAAACATGTTTTTTGCTTTTTGGTTTTGTTGTTGAGCATCTATTATTTGCAGGCACTGTTATACCTGTTTGGTCCTTCAGAGTTATGTGAAGACCATTTTCAAATTGGGGTTTCTAAAATGCTTTGATTAAAGGGAGCATCACATTGAAATGAATGTACAGCATTGAAGGGCATAACACTGAAATGTCTAAGCCCCTGTATATTTGTTAAAATTCTCACCACGTTATAGTAACCTTGTATGTAACTTAACTAGAATCCTCAACTAAATCAATTCACACAGAAAGTCAACATTTCTGAGTGCCAGGCACTATGGCAGATAGCAAAAATACAAAACCTAAAGTGAAGGAGATGGAAAGTCATGGGACACAGGCATCTCCATCTAACTAGGAACATAGGAATGATTTCACAGGAAGGCACTGTCTATTCCACTAGAGCCAAATCTTACTTTGGGTTATTTTTAACCATCTAATTTGAGACGAGATGTATATTTACCACATACAGTGTTCTGGAAACTTCAAAAAGTTATATCCAGGGTAGAAGGTGCTCTGGCGCAGTCTCTTGAGGGTGGAGCAGAACCAGCCACCAATCCTTTTTCCACCATCTGGGAGGTGGAATGTCTGTCCATGCTGGGGGCTCAGTGAACCTGAGCTCTTGGTGAGGTACAACTTTTCTATACAGTACTGTTTATTTCTATTTGATTTGGATTTTAGACTATGAAGTGGCATCTGAATAGCTAGAGTTTAGTAGTTTCCAGCATTGGAAAGAAAATCCACAGAGATCCTGCAAGCCAGACGATGCCCTATGTCACCAATGTATCTAATCACTAAACAAAGCAAAAGGCAGCAGCTTTGAACTGTTAAAATACAGAATGTTTAAATTACAAAATCCTACACACATTCAAACTGGGCAACATGAGAGTCCTGTGATTGCTCTATTCTCAGAGCCAGAGTCTGCAAAAGTAAGAAATGCTTCAAGAAGCCCCACCAGGCAGGGCTGAGGCCGAGGTCATACCAGTTCTGAAGGATGCTGGTAACAGAGCTGGAACTCAAACCCAGCCCCCATTGAGCTTGAGGCGAGGCGGGGGTTGTAGGGGGTGGGGGACACATTCTGTTCTACATGACATAAACAAAATAAACAAGTATTGTCTCCAAGGGAGTCAGAACCCTGAATAAAGAGAAAGAAGCGAAGGCCACTGAGCCTACTTTGGGTTTCTCGCTTCCTGGCCACAGACATACCATGTATCTAGTATATGACAACACAGGTACATGCAAAGCTTTAGTGCAGCTAGACAAGGCTTGACCCAACATGCTGACACAAACCCCACAAAGGCCGGTGCGAGCTGGTAGAGCTGCTTAGCTTCCTCAGTGCTGTGACGAAAGACAGGCTGCTTTACCCCACAGAGCATCTGGAAAGAAGATGTATGAGAGCGACCATACCAGGCAGTAACAAGCAGACAGAGACAAGGGGGAGAAAAACAGCATGATGACACCTGGAAGAAGAAACAAATGCAGGCACTCAATTTCTAGGAAACTGTCTTCTATGCTTTCTACCCTCTACCCTCCTGTCCCAACCCTTCCATTCTTTATTTTTCACCCACAGTGCCTAAGAAACAAACAAAAAGAGGCAGGAGCCCTGTCTTCAAGTTCAGTTTAATGGAGATAGGTAAGTAACCAGACAAGCATAGCCCAATGCGGTCTCAGGTTCCATTGTGTCAAATTCACATCAGAAGTCTCAGCCAAGAAGACATTTGAATTGCCCTTGTTAGGGAAAACAAGACAAAAAACAAAAAACCCTAGTTAGGAAAGAAATCTTCCTCATTGTTTTGAATTTAACATGTGATAATGACCAATGCAATATTATATGTATGCAGAAAAGAGTTTACGTCCAGGCTTAAGACTGCTATCCTCAGAAAGGACTTCTTGCAAGTCTGGCCCTTGGCTGATGGCTGAAAACTTGAATAGTAAACAGTTCCCTAGACCAATATAAAACTTTCCCCAACTGATAAGAATGTCTCACTGTACCTAGACTATCCCTATGAGCACAGTGGTAACACCTGCTTTCCTTCTGGGAGTGTGGAATTTTGGTACATGGTAGGCACAGGGTGCTGACGTGACCATCCCCCAATAAGAACTTGGGCACTGAATCTCTGATGAGTTTCCCTGGTAGACGACACTTCATTGTACTGTCACAATTCAGTGCTGAGGAATTAAGTGCGTCTCGTGACTCTACTGGGAGAGGACTCTCTGAAGTTTGCACCTGGTTTCCCCTGAACTTTGTCCCACGCACCGTTTCCCTTTGCTGATTTTGCTTTGTAACCTTTTGCTGAAATCAATCTTAGCTATGAGTACCACAACAGGCTGAGTCCTGTGAGTCTTCTCAGGGTTGTCTTGGGGACTCCCAACACAATTTGCACTCAGATTCACCACCAAAAGGCAAAAGAGCACCCACATTCATGAAATGCCTACTTTGCACTAGATACTCTGCTAGATACGTACATTTTTTCATCTACACTTCACAACAATCCTATGGTTTAGAATTGTCTGTTTTTCATATGATGAAAACAGAAAGTAACCCATGCAAGGTCCTGTTTCAAACCCACTTCTGCCTGACTCTTCAAAACAAGACATAATGCCTCAGAGAACTCAAAAAGAGGGCAAAGAGAGTATGCGCCAATGCATTTCCATGGGAATGATCACCACGTATCCTGTAAGAGAAATCAGAACATACGATCTGACAGGAGACCACTTCTAGGAGTAAGAAGCAGTTAAGGATATGCATGGGCATTTTGGAATACTGCATTTCAAGAATTGATCTGTTGAGGCAAAAAGACAATACTATCAGAATTGTCCTGGAAAGTACATGGCCGGTGTGTTGGCTCATGCCTGTAATCTCAGCACTTTAAGAGGCCAAGGCAGGAGGATTGCTTCAGTCCAGGAGTTTGAGACCAGCCTGGACAAAAGAGTGAGACCCCGTCTCTACCATATAGATATAATATTGGAGTACTTTCTGTTAAAAAAAAACAAAAGTATACGATAAAAGTTCTCAGAGTACTGGTCACAGGCCAATTCTCAGACGTATGAAGCTCTGCTGGGGAGAAGGGACCTCAGTCTAAGAAGGTGACTGGCTGCCTTCAAGTAAGAGGAATGTCCAAAGAAGCCATTTTGAAATCTACCCAGTAGGGCTCTGGTATTAACTATTGTCAAAATCTGTAAGGTGCAGTTTCCTCCTTTACTCAGAGAGCAGGACAATCTAAGGAAGGCTGAGGCCAAGCACGTGGTTTATTTTGAGAAGTGGGGGATCAGTAGTACCTACAGGAGCAAAGAACACTAAGAAATTCTACTGCTATGAGATAGGAGAAGGGGAGGTAGAGGAGAAGGGGGAGGCTAGAAACGGACACATCTGTGCCAGAGGATTTATATTTATTATCTCATTTAATCTCAGTAATCCCGCAAAGTAGGGATTAGTGGCTTCGTTTTACAGATGAAGAAAACTGAGCTCAAAACAATGAGGTATTAGCCGAAGTTCATGTAACTAATAAGTGCCAGAGTAAGAGCTTGGGCTCGGGTCTTCCTGAGAAGCTTCTAAACCCAGAAGCCTCTCACCAGCATTCTGCCTCTGCCACCTAAGGTGTAGGAGGCGCCAGCTACTAGAACTTGGATAGGGCTGTTGGTGCTAATGTTACCAAAGGTGTAAGCCTTAAGGGAAAGGTCAGGATGAAACCAAAGACCCTATAAACTAGAGTCGACTCACATGGGAATAATGGAAGAAACTCTGGGTGCCCATAGATGTTTGTCTTGTTTACAGAATCACATTTAAGAGAATAAAAACCGATATTCTTTGAAGGAAGCCCTAAATCCGGGAAAGCTCTAGGGGGACTTCTGCAAGGTCCCAGTGTGACCAGGAACTCAGGGCCTGGAACCCAGTGCTCAGTTACTTCACCCCAAACCTTGTAGTCATCCATGTCTCCTCCTTCTTCCTCAATGTCAATTCTATTTCCAACATTTATCTCAAATCTATTTACTTCTCCTTATCTCCACTGCCACCATCACCTCTCATCTGAACAAAAAGTGGGTTATCCTACTTACATTCTCAGTCCTGAAATCTATTCTCCACATGGCAGTCAAAGCGATCACTGAAAACTGCTGCTCCAGTTGTACCACTTCCCTGCATAAATCCCTTCAGAGGCTTCTCATTTGCCTTTGGTATCAAATCCCAAATCCTGCCAGGTCCACTCACCTCGTGGCCTTAGTTTGTGTCACTGGCTGTCTCAGCAAGTTTCAGCCATATTGCTCCACTAATGCATCCAGCCCCTGTGGCCCCAAAGACATCACAACGTACTGTTCCTCTGCCTGAACTTCCTGAACCTCCCCATCCTCACCTGGCCACTCCTCCTGTAGGTCTCACTTAAATGACACCCACTTAAGGATCCTTCCCTTCCCTTCAGATCATCCCAGCCTGAACTAGGTCACCCTCTGACACTGTCTCAGTGTACACTACTTGTATAAAACATACAGTAAAACTATATGTTTCTAGTTATTCCTGCCATTATTTGTTTGATATCTGTCTCCCCTGCAATCAGGCTCTAGATTCAGAGGCAGGGACTGTTTGCTAAGTTTACCAATTTGATTTCCAGCACCTGGCACATGGTGGGTGCTTCCTAAATTTCTATGGAACGTATTAACATTTACCAAATATATACTGAGTACCTACTATGTGACTGACACAATTCTGAGCACTAGAATATAATATTAATTATATTAATAGCATGAATAAAAAAGAGTCCTATTGGGGGCAGGTTTAGTGTTTATAGACAGTAAGAAAACTAGTAAATATGTCAGATGATCATGAGTTCTATGGGGAAAAATAAAGCAGAATAAGGGACAGAGAAAAATGCTGGGGTGAGGTACAGTAACAATAAGCGGCAGTGATGACAAACTGGCCATGGTGACATTTTCACTCACCTCCTATATAAACCAATTTTTTCCAGTTCTCAGACTCTAGGATTTTGTCATGTGGGTAGTAGCTCTGGTCCATCATGAAGAGAATCATGAGTGAGGCCATGCAGCAGAGGATGAATGTGTTGCCTTTGGTCAGAAGGGAGGTGGAAGCCAAGATGGAGGACGCATACGGGCAGGGTAGACCCCTGTATGTGGAGCGGACTCCTGCCGGGAAGAACACTGGAGATTAGTTGCTTCTGTCTGCCCTAAGGTTACCTAAATGAAGCAAGCCCCTCTTTCGCTGAGTATTCCCCTACCCAGGATACAATATTCCCTTAAACCCAAAGGCAGTGGCAGGCTGAAAATCATTTATTCACAAAGATGATGCATGGGTTTTACATTGGGTTTCCATGGGAAAGGAGACAGCCAGCTAGGACCAGGGTGTGCCCTGGCTCCTAGGAAGTCTCTGCTGAAAGGGTCCTTTGAGACCTGCTAGTCTAAGCCCTGTGCTGTATCTTCTGCCCTCCTCACGTTGTGACCTTAGGCAGAAGAATTTCCCTCACTGGAGCATGGTTTCTCCATCTTTTTTGAGAACTGGAGTACAACCTCCAGTTCTAGTCCAAGAATCAATATACTCCATCCAAAGATCACAGGTCATGCAGTGAGACAGAGGCATAGCTGCTCCAAGAAACGAAGGCCCTTGCCTCCCAGCCCAGGGCTCTGCCAGTGCAGCCTACAGGCTCCAGTGGCATGGGGCATGGGGCATGCAAGGAGAAAGGAAGAGGACCTCTGAAAAAGGACTCAGTAACTGCATCCCAGGCTTCTGACATCTGACAGCCCCCCGTTCTGTGGTCCCCTGCCCTCTGTTCTAAGGCAACCTTGGTTCCACTCACCAGGTGAATAAAAGCACAAGCGGAAAGAAGCAGCTGACACATAGATGATGGCCAGGGTCCCACTCAGAAGTCCGTCCACGCCTAGGAGCAGAGCGGAGGCCAGGCCGAAGGTGGTGAAGATGGCAAAGTCATTCAGCTCAGCTCCTGCCCCAGAGGGCCCAAAGTTAGAAGAGCTTACACTCCGATAGCTTGCACCTTAGCCTCACTCTGGTGGGGGAGCTGGGGTAGTGACAAGAGGGGTCCTGAGGTCCAAGAAAGCAACAGCTGCTCCCCTGGGGCAATCTGTAGATCAAGGCTGGGATCTCCTCCTGGCTCTGCCTTGAACTGGCCAGTGGCCCTGGTCAAGTATTTCCCTCTCAGGTCTTAGTTTTCCCATCCCTTAACATGCAAGGGTTGGACTACTGTCAGATACAAACTGATAAGCTGTGGGACTTTTTAAAACTAAATCTTACATGGAAGCATTTTACTGTATTTTAAACCAGCTGCTCTGCTGGTTTAATTTTCATCTCCTCTCTGCCAACCTCCTCTCACCCCACCCCTCCCACTTCCACTCCAATATCTGGATGGACCCAGAACAGGGAAGCAGGGCAGATGAGAAAACTGAAAGACTGAGCAATGGTCAATAAGTGAGCCAGCAGAGGAGCTGGAGCTGCACCGTGGGGCTCCTGAACTCCTGCCCAAAGGCTGTCTCTGCTGCTCTCAGAGGGATGTGAACAGGGGTGGATGCCTGATGAAGGCCTTCTGGATGTTAGATGATAGATGAAGGAGGTGACCTCAGATGGATGCTACTGGGGGCAAGGATTAGGGGCTTGGGGCCTGGACTCACCCAATTTGGAGCAGATGTTGAGGTGGCTGGTCATTGCCCTGACTGCCATGTCTAACAGGAAGCTGACCAGGAGCATCCAGGAGGCATACTGGCGTTTCCTAAAGCACAGGCAAGCAAGCCCAAACGGGGCAGCACTTTTGCAGTCTCCACTGGAGACTCTCCCCAGCCCTCCATTAGTGCATTAGTATACGCTAATATACTTCTTACACACTTCCCACACTTGCACACATACACACATCCCTTCATGTTCCCCACACTCACATCCTGATAAAGGCTGCTTTCGCACCACACATGCACACACACATGCCTACATCCCTCACAAACTCTTAATCTACAGTCAGAAAGGAGTGCCCCAAATCCCCTAGAAAATCACTAAGATCCCTTCCAACTCTAAGCTACCAGGCATTTTTGATGGCACAGGTGACCTAAGTTCTAGCCCAGCCTCTGCCACCATCTCCCTATGAATTCTTAGGTAAATCACTACCCCATCTCTAGGCCACTCCCCCATCTGTAAAATGGGGAGTGTGTGCTAAATGATTTCTTTAATAGATATATGCCTATTCAGATGACTTGGATCTCCTTGTGTGAGTTTTGATAACATGTCTTTTAAGGGATTGATCATTTGCAGCTACGATATCAATTTTGGGGCATAGAGTTGTTAATAGCATTCCTTTATTATCCTTTTAATGTCTGTGGAATCAGTAGTAATGGCCCTTGTTCTGTTTCTGATATTGGTAATTTCTGTCTTTTCATTTTTTAACTTGGATAGCCTGGCTAGAGGTTTATTGATTTTATCAATCTTCTCAAAGAACCAGCTTTTGGTTTCACTGATGTTTCTCTATTAATTTCTTGTTTTCAATTTCTTTGATTGCCACTCTAATTTTTATTTTATTTTTTACTTTTTTGAGATGGGGTCCCTCTGTCACCCAGGCTGGAGTGCAGTGGCATGGCCTCAGCCAACTGCAACCTCTGCCTCCTTGGTTCAAGCAATTCTCCTGCCTCAGCCTCCAAAGTAGCTGGGCTTACAGGCATGTGCCACCATGCCCAGCTAATTTTTATATTTCTAGTAGAGACGGTGTTTCACCATGTTGGCCAGGCTGGTCTCAAACTCCTGACCTCAAGTGATCCACCTGCCTCGGCTTCCCAAAGTGATGGAACTACAGGCATGAGTCACTGTGCCCAGCGTAATTTTTACTTTTTATTTTATATGCTTACTTTGGATTTAGTTTGCTCTTCTTTTTCTAGTTTCCTAAGGTTAAAGCTTAAATTATGGATTTTAAATCTTTCTTTTTTTGAATATATGTATTCAATGCAGGAAATTTCCCTCAAAGCAAAGCACTACTTTCCTTGCATCCTAAAACTTTTGATAAATCTTGAGTTCATGTTTTTTAGTTTAAAACATTTTTAATTTTTCTTGAAACTTCTTTTATCCATGTGTCATTTAGAAGTGTGTTGTTTAATCTCCATATATTTCAGGATTTTTCAGCTATCTGTTATTGACTTCTATTTCAATTTCATGTGATCTGAGAGCATACTTTTGTTAAATTTGTTAAGGTATGTTTTATGACCCAGAATGTGGTCTGTCCAAGTGAGTCTGAGAAGAATGTGTACTCTGCGTAGTTGGATGAGCACTCTATAGATGTCCACTTTATCCGGGTGACCAATAGTGTTGCTGACTTCAACTATGTCTTTGCTGAGTTTCTGCCCACTGGATCTGTCAGTTTCTGACAGAGGGGTGTGGAAATCTCCAACCTTGATAGTGGACTCATCAATTTCTCCCTGCAGTACTATTAGTTTCTGTGTCATGTATTTTGATGCTTTAAATGATTTCCATAAGCTCTTTCAGACCCCACATTCTTGATTCTGTGCCTCCATCCAGCACATGCTCCCAGGTCCCTCTAAATGCTGCCACCACAGCTTCAAGCAAACCTACCCTGAAAGGTGCATTCCCAAGTCTGTGCCCTGAATGCAATGCTTAGGTGGCCCAGAAGGAGCAAAGGGCCTGACCTAGACCACAGCTGTCCCCAAACAACCACAGCATTTCCTTTGTTTAGACCTAGACCCATCTGTCTAAAAGGGACTGAAGCTACATAAAAATACTAGGGGCAGTATCATGGCATAAAAATTACACTCCCAGAAAATTAGGCTGAATTAAGAAGATGGGGATTTTTTGGGCTGGGCACAGTGGCTCGTGCTCGTAATCCCAGCACTTTGGGAGGCCTAGGCAGGTGGATCACTTGAGTCCAGGTGTTTGAGACCAGCCTGGGCAATATAGTGAGAACTCATCTCTAAAAAAAAAAAAAAGAAAGAAAGAAAGAAAGAAAAGGCTTTTCTTGAAAAAAGAGATTTTCTGGCCAGGTGTGGTGGCTCATGCCTGTAATCACAACACTTTAGGAGGCCGAGGCGGGTGGATCACGAGGTCAAGAGATCGAGACCATCCTGGCCAACATGGTGAAACCCCATCTCTACTAAAAAATACAAAAATGAGCTGGGCATGGTGGTGCATGCCTGTAACCACAGCTATTCAGGAGGCTGGGGCAGAAGACTCACTTCAACCAGGGAGTCGGAGGTTGCAGTGAGCCGAGACCCCACCACTGCACTCCAGCCTGACGATAGAGCAAGACTCGGTTTCAAAAGAAAAAAAAGACAGAGATTTTCTACTGTAGGTGTGCCCTACTTTATTAGACTCCAAATACGAAGACATAGAGAATCATGAAAATTTCAAGCTGAAAGTGTGCTTAAACATCATCAAGTAAAGTCATCTTATTTTATGGATGAGAAACAAATCCAAAGAGAAGTCACTGGCTGATGGTTATGGACAATCAAGTAGATTACAAGGATGTTATCTGCATCATAAAGGATTTATCTTTGAAGGACTGATATCCCAAAAACATTGACATGGGATTCAATTTACAGAAATAGAATTTGCTTACAACATTTTGGGGGAACTTATACAAGTCTCGGACCTCCCAGAACAGTGCTAATTTCAAATATTCTGCCAGGTCATGTGATCTTATTTAAGAATTAGAAAACATGAACAGTGGCCTACCCAAAGATTGTATAAAGGCCACCAGAACAGAATCTCTTGGTTTTATCATAAAAACCATTCTAGACTGCCATAGCTGGAATGAACTACAGAGATCATAATGCAAGCTCCTCATTTTACAGAAGGAGAAACTGAGGCTCAGGGATGTAGCCTAGCCAAGGTCTCATCAGGTATGTGGTACAGCTAAGTCTGGGATCTTGGCCCATTGACTCCTAAGCTACTGCACTTTCCCCAGGTTCACTGTGGATTCCTGTGCCTCATTGCCTGCTCTCTAGAATCTCCTCCTTTCCTCATGCCATTGGCTCCAGCTCTTGGCTAAGAGCTTGCTGGGCCCCAGACCTACCTGCTAAAGCTGAAGATGATGGAGAAGAGCCCCAGGACCATGTTGGTCAGAGATAAGGTATTGGTAACCTCCTTCCAGGAAACGTCATTTATCTTGGAATGGCTCTGGTCATGGCTCAGGAAGAAACTGGTACCCTTACCTGGGGCCTAAGAGAGAGGGGCAAAGGGTTCCCAAGGTCAAGGAGTCCCAGAAGAGGCTCCCAGGGACCCATTCCACTAGACCTCACCACAGAATGGCACCCTCCCTACATTCTGTATCACATCACTGGCTGGACTAAGGGAGACAGGAAGTAGATGAACAAGACTCAGGAGGTAAAGACAAAGGTGCTGAGGATCCAGTGTCTTGGGAAAGCTCAGTAGCAGAGCAGGTGAACCAACACAGCATAGTTTCCATTCCCTCTCTGACTGCACCTTTGCCCTGCAGCGCAGACATCTCTCCAGTCCATATGCTGATCCTCCTGGAGCCCCATGGCCCAGAATAGAGGGGGTATGGGCCCTTTTCCCGAGTGAGAAGTGGGCCCTTGTCACGGATCAAGGGTTGGCTTGAGAGAGAAGTAGCGCCAGGAAGCCCTGTTTTCCCACAGTCCAAGCTCCCTCTCTCTGAAGCACAGGGCTACAGCTGAGGTGCCCCAATGTCCTGGTTCTGACAGGCCCCAATCAGAACAGCAGGCCTCCCTCCACAACGGAAGAGATGACAGATTAAAAATGAATGTGTAGCTGGACACGGTGGCTCATGCCTGTAATCCCAGCACTCTGGGAGGCCAAGGCAGGCAGATCACCTGAGGCCAGGAGTTTCAGACCAGCCTGGCCAACATGTTGAAACCCAGTCTCTACTAAAAATACAAAAATTAGCCAGGTGTGGTGGTGCACGCCTGTAATCCTAGCTATTCAGGAGGCTGAGGCAGGAGAATTGCTTGAACCTGAGAGACAGAGGTTGCAGTGAGCTGAGATCACACCACTATACTCCAGCCTGGGCAGAGAGAGCAAGACTCGGTCTCAAAAAATACTAAAGAATGTGTACAACACTGAATAGTTCACAAATACCTTTTCACCATGTTCCCTTCCCAGCGTCTGGTGATGACCTCAGGACATGGTGCTAGAATTCTCCCCTATTTTAGGAAACTACCATTAAAAGAAAAGAAGATGGCCAGGCGCAGTGGCTCACACCTGTAATCCCAGCACTTTGGGAGGCCAAGGTTGGCAGATCACGAGGTCAGGAGTTTGAAACCAGCCTGACCAACATGGTGAAACCCCGTGTTTACTAAAAATACAAAAATTTGCCGGGCATGGTGGTGGGCACCTGTAATCCCAGCTACTCAGAAGGCTGAGGCAGGAGAATCTCTTGAACCCAGGAGGAGGCTGCAGTGAGCCAAGATCGTGCCGCTGCACTCCAGCCTGGGCGACAGAGCAAGACTCCAACTCAAGAAAAAAAGAAAGAAAGAGGCCAGGCGTGGTGGCTCAAGCCTGTAATCCCAGCACTTTGGGAGGCCGAGGCGGGTGGATCACGAGGTCAAGAGATCAAGACCATCCTGGTCAACGTGGTGAAACCCCGTCTCTACTAAAAATACAAAACATTAGCTGGGCATGGTGGCGCGTGCCTGTAATCCCAGCTACTCCGGATGTTGAGGCAGGAGAATTGCCTGAACCCGGGAGGCGGAGGTTGCAGTGAGCCGAGATCGCGCCATTGCACTCCAGCCTGGGTAACAAGAGTGAAACTCCGTCTCAAAAAAAAAAAGACAGACAGAAAGAAGAAAGAAAAAAGGAAGGAAAGAAGGAAGGAGGGAGGGAGGGAGGGAGGGAGGGAAGGAAGGAAGGAAGGAAGGAAAGAAGGAAGGAAGGAAGATATTTGCTCAAAGTCATACAGTAAATAGAACCAAATCCCATTTGTTTGATTCTAAATCTGGTGTTTCTTCTGCTGGGGGCATAGATTTCATCAGGAGGAGCTGTGTGGAATGGGGGCAGTGAGGGAGCTTGATGGCCAGGCCCTAGGGGCAGCAGCAGCCTCCCTGTGTATGTGGGAGCGGCCTAGCCCAGGTCCCACAGCACTCCCTGTCTCTCCCACAACAGGGAATCGGCTGGTCCCACCCATCTTCACAACCTGTCTTGTCTCTGTTTTCACTCTAAGAACAAATATGTACACCTTACACATAAAATGCTTGTAAAACTGAGTCTCTTGGAGAAAGAGTCCCATTCCTCCCCAAAACTGAGAAGCCCCACTGGTTGGGGCAAATGTACTAGCCATAAATAGATCCTGAGTAAAATAAACAAGTTCCAAGGTGTTCCCAGATCTGTCTTCTCATTTAATCGTCACCCATTTCAAAGGTGAGGATTAATCTCACCTCCCGCTCTGCCTCCATCCAGCCCCTCTGTACAGCCTCAGGACCCAACTGGTCTGGGCAAGAGGTGAAACAGACCATGATCCTTTCTCATAAACCCACCACCAAGAGGCCAGCAGCTGGGAGAGCTGACTTGGAGTTTGAAACCAGAGTTTACCAGTCCTCCATGGGCCAGCCTCACTCACCAAAGGGGATCAGTAGCTACACGGCCAAAGTCACTGTGATTCTGAAGACCTTCTTATGCTAGGGCCCCTAAGACAGGAAGCAATGCAAGCCAGGGAAATCTGGGAGGGGAAGGGGACAAGCGACTTGCTGCACACTCCCTCCCCATGAACCCGCTGTAATGGTCTCTTCTGGATCTCTGGGCTGACCCCAGCAAGATCAAACATCCCAGTGTCTGCTGCTCAGAGCCAGACAGCAGGTACCCAGGGTCTGTCTACCAATTGTCAGGCATTGCTGCTGCCTCTGTGCTACTTCACAGCTGGTTAATTTCTAATTAATGGTCAATTGTCTACTATATTATCTCTTTCATTATCTCCTCCATTCACAAACCACTTTCACATTTAGGATTTCCATTGGCCCTGTGAGCGCCGTTAGGCAAGAGTTCTCATCCCTACTTTCCAGGTAGGCAAGGAAGACTCAGAGATGGGGGGAACCTAGCTCAAGTTCACACCAGAAGTGGTAGAAATAAGACTTACGATTTTGCCTTAAGTGTTCTTTCCCCAGTGCTCTGCTCTCTATTAACCAAGAGGACTGGACATTGTATTGGTTACATGCTCTGCCTGAGCCTGGGGCTGGCAGAAACCTTGTTCCCTAACATCACAGAGTTTACAACCTCTCCAAGGAAATGAGTGTCTTGCATGCATGTGGAGACTTAGACTCTATTCACAGTGGTACCTTATCTTACAGATAGGGAAACTGACATTTCAGGAGAGTTAAGTGACTTGTCCAGTAAATGGTGGAGCCAGGATTTGATTTGGGTCTCCTCTTTCCCAATTAAATGCTGTTTGCAGCAAAATGCACAGGTCCCAGGTGTGAAAGGATGTGGACTTGACAGTAAGGGCTGTAGAAGACTTCGGAAATAAGGAACCACCCATTCATTCAGCAAACATTTGGCCAGAGGCAAGATTTGGTGCCTGGTGCTTGGGACACAGAGAAGATTAAGACCAAGGAGCACGGTTTAGCCTCAGTGCCTAACCCTGCACAGGAAAGAGGCAACCAGGCTACTAAGGGAGCACCGAAGCGGGGCACGGCCTGCCAGGGGGTGAGAGAAGGCTCCCAGGAGGGATGGGGGCTGAGGCTTGACACAGCACCTGCCTGCAGGAGTAGATCTCGTCACTCCCCAGCTTCTGGAATGCCCTCAGGATGGAGTCCAACTACTGCGTTTGGTAAGCCAGCCCTGCTCAGCAATCCCAGCTTCCTCTCTCATTCCTCCTCCTTCTCAGGACCTCCCTATGGTCTTGGGTTAGTTAGTGTTCCTCTTTGGGAACCTCCTAGGACATCCCCCCAAGCATGTTAAGTGCCCCTCATCTGTATGGTCTTGTCTTCTTGTGCTCACCATGTGGCACTCTGTTTTGGCACAGCCTACCTTGGCTTCCTCCTCTCCTACAGGGGATACAACTTGAGTTCTGGCTGAGGTCCCCTGTGCCCAGTGTGAGGCCTGACAATAGAAGGTGTTCCCTGTTTGTTAAATCAACATCGCAGGTCACTCTGGTGCTTCCCCAAGGCCCTCTCACTGCACCAAATCTATCGACCCTCTATCTAACCCTGCCCAACATGGCCTCCAAGAAGCTTTCTCAGATGAACACTCAACAGTCCAGCCCCTTCCGCACACCCAGCAACTACCCAGTACTTATGATCTTCCACTTACTCATTTTTTTTAAATGCTATTTATTTATTGCTGATGGCGGCTCTGTGCCAGGCCTTGTGTGGCTGGGGATGGGAGAAGAACAAGAGCCAGGCTGAACCGTCCAGCAGCTCAGAGTCTGGTAGAGGAGGCAGCTGTGTGTAGGGACAAGTGTAATGTTGGACAAGGGGACATCCTAGCTGCTATGGAGAGACTAAGTATGGGGTGGGGCAGGGGAAGTTTCCACTCCTGTGGTGACATTGATCAGGGTCTCTAAGGATGAATAAAGAATTAGGAGGGGCATTCGTGGTGGAGGGAATGAACTGCAGCTGCGGAAGCACGATGAGGAGGCTGGATCCCTGGATTCCGGGAGAGAGGGGTGACCAGAGGTGACACTGGCAGGGAGGCTGGAGGGGGTGGTTGTGCGGGTGTGATCTTGAGTGGCAGCCTGTGGATGGCAGTGTGGTGTTCAACAAGGGAGCAGAGTCCTGTTCAGACACGGGCAGGGAGCGCAGGAAGGCTTGGAGGGGACAAACTACAGAAAAGGAAACACGCCAGAAGCCTGGGAGTTGCGGGGGAGACGTGAGGAGGGGAAAAGCCGGGCTGTGGTAGTGGGGCTGCAGGGGAGGGGAGAGTTGAGTATGCCTCTGAGGTTTCTCAGCAGCGGGGCGGCGCCTCCGCGGAGTGAAACCATCCAGGTGGAGCGCTCCAACCGGTGACACGTGACACGCATGGCACAGACACGGCGACGCCGCTTGCGCCAGTTACAGACTCTCTTCCCCTCCATTCCCTGCTCCTTTCCTGGAGGCTGGAAACCCGTGCCCCGACAGAGGGCTGGCCTCTGGGGACTGGACGCGGTCCCCTGGCCCACTCTGGTTGTCCGGCGGCTGCCCGGGCCTGGCTCCAGCCGGGACCACCCTGGAAAGACAGAGCCGAACTGGTCGCTGATAGCACCCAGGGAGCAGCGCTTCTCGCCCCTTCCACGCGGGTGCAGAGGCTCACCTGGGGACAAGGCATTCCTACACGGGATAGGGGTCCGTGCTTCTGCCCGCTTCCTGTGTGGTGGAGAGGGACAGCCCTGGCAAGGGGCGCGGCTCGCTGGTGTCCCGGGCTCCCACCCTGGCTCTTAGCTCACAATCCCAAGAGCAGGGGAGGGGTTGCAAGGTCTGTAGTCAGGGAGAAGAAGGGCTCAGTTTCCAGGGGCGCCCAGGTCTTGCGGTGGGGGCAGCAGGGAATGGAGAAGTCTCGGGGAGGGGACAACTCCTCTACCTGGGCGAGACTGGGAAGGCTACAAGGTGGAAACTGCGGCCCAGGCGTGTGGGCCTGGAGTGGGGCGGGAAGTGCGCTGGAAAGGGGAGGCTGTGCGGGGATGCTGAGCCAGCCTCTGCGGGGCCCCTAGAAGGTAAGCTCCATGCGGGCAGGGCTGCTTGTATGTTTCCTTAGCTGCTGTTCCCTGTGCCTGTAAGAGCATAGGCTCACAGGAATACTATTTGGATGAATGACAAGCTAAGAAATTTGGACTCAATCCTGAAGAAAAGTTTTTAAGTAGGAAGGTGACATGATCAGGTTGTTTCAGAAAGACTAACCTGGTAGTCATTGTGGAGGAAGGATCTGCAATCCTGCAGGACAAGAGGCAGGAGAGCAACAGATGGGATGGGAGGAAGGAGCCCCATCAGGAGCCCGTGTGAGATGGAATCCCAGGGGTGAGGGAAGCAAGAGGAAGGGGACAAGAGCATCTCAGAGGTGACTGTCTTTGGCAGTTGGGCTGACAGAGTGCTACAGAACAAAACTTTTTGGTATTGGGTAAGGATTTCAGGCACTGGTTCTCAGGTAGCGCCCACCCTCACTAGCCCACCGGAAGCAACACTGGAGCAGGGATCACTTTGAGGACCCCACAGGAGAACATAAAAGGGCAGGGGTGCTAGGAGGTCAAGTGACACTCTGCCTCTCCTTGCAACCAGCAGGGGAAAGAGAAGTGTAAGACTGAGCATGTCCTGAGGGGAACACTAGGCAGCAGGTACTGGGCTAGATGTTGTACGGACATTCTCATCACCTTGCTGGAACTTCTCAGCTACCTGAAGTTAGTGTTAGCATTCCCGTCCTACAGAAGAAGAAATATGGGATCAGAGAGCTGATTCTACTGGAGAATATACCATTAATAATTCGTGGAGCTGAGACCTGAAAACAGCGACACCAAAGTCAGACCTAGGGTGTGTGAGGCAACAAAAGGTGTATTACACGCCCCCACCTGAGTCAGGCCAGCTTCTTTTGATCATCTATGTGTTTCTCTTCATTTCTCCCTGCCATGCGGCCCATTAAAGTAGCAAATTAAAAACTGCAGCCTAATGATTATTATACCAGCTTAACTTTAAACCAAGTTTACATTCCAGCGCTAACACTTACCAGATGTATAAATGTGAACAAGTTACTTTGCTTTTCTAAACCTGTTTCCTAATCTATAAAATGGGATTGTTGGGAGAATTAAATGAGATTATATGCTTGGCACAGAATAGAAGCTCAATTATCAGCATTATTCATCTAAGCATATGATCATACATCTATTAGTCTGGACATCTCCAAAGTTTCTTTCAAGAGAGGGGAAGGAAGCAGGGTGGCTGAAAAAGCTACCCCCCCGCCACACACCCACACCAGAAGTTTCTAGCTTCCCTAATTCTGAATCTCACAGGAAGTACAGAATGAGAACAGTAAGTTAGGCTGCTTATACACTTGTGCTAATATGGTAGCCAGCAGCCACATGCAGCTACTGAGCACTTCAAAGGTGGCTAGTCTGAACTGAGATGTGCTGTAAGTATAAAATATACACCAAAGTTTGAATTCTTAGTTTAAAAAAGAATGTAAAGTAACCAAGTTTTTTTTTAGTAATTTGTTGAAATGCTAACAGTTAAGATATGCTGGGTTACAGAAATTTTTTTTTTGAGACAGGGTCTCACTCTGTCACCCAGGCTGAAATGCAGTGACATGATCATGGTTCAAAGCAGCCTTGACCTCCTGGGCTCGAGCATTCCTCCCATCTCAGCCTCCCAAGTAGCTGGGACCACAGGCACATGCCACCATGCCTGGCTGATGTTTGTATTTTTTGTAGAGATTAGGTCTCCCTATGTTGGCCAGGCTGGTCTTGAACTCTTAGGCTCAAGCGATCCTTCTGCCTCGGAGTCCCAAAGTGCTGAATTTATAGGCATGAGCCTATAATCGTACCCAGTGATAAAATGTATCCTTAAAGTTAATTTTATTTTTTGGTATAGCTACCAGAAAAATTTAGATCACACATGTGGCTCACATTATATTTCTATTAACTGCATCAACTTGAATCCTTTGCAGGATATAGGTGCAGAGCTACAGATGTCCATCCACTGATTTATTCTTTTTTTTTTTTTCAGATGGAGTCTCACTCTGTTGCCCAGGCTGGAGTGTAGTGGCGTGATCTCAGCTCACTGCAAACTCCACCTCCCAGGTTCAAGCAATTCTCACGCCTCAGCCTCCTGAGTAGCTGGGATTACAGGTGCGTGCTGCCATACCCAGCTAATTTTTGTATTTTTAGTAGAGATGGGGGTTTCACCATGTTGGCCAGGCTGGTCTCGAACTCCTGACCTCAAGTGATTGGCCCGCCTTGGCTTCCCAAAGTACTAGGATTACAGGGATGAGCTACTGTGCCTGGCCCACTGATTTATTCATTATTAAGAGTATTTATTATGCACCAGGCACTATTTTAGATGCTAGACACAGCAGTGAACAAGACAAATACCATCACTGTCCTCACAGAACTTATGGGACAGAAGCAAAAAATAAATCATTTCTGGTTATGCTAAGTGCTGCGGAAAACAAAGCAGAATCAGAACTATTTTAATGTGAGAAGAGCTCGTATTTCTGAGAGGGTAATTAGGGAAGTGGCATTTCAGCAGGGACCTAAAGTGGCATTTCAGCAGGGACCTAAAGGATGAGAAGATGCAAACCTGCAAAGATCTTGGCGGCAATGCTCCAAGCAGATGAGACAGCAAAGTAAATAAGCAGCAATGAACTTGGTGTGTAGGAACAACAGCAAGGTCAGCAAAGCAGGAACATGCTGAGTCCTGAGAATGGCAGATCACATAGAACCTAAGAAAGAAATGAGAAATTCTTGGGATTTTTTTTTTTTTTTAACAGAGGTTTTGTGATCTGGCTTGTTGTTTTAAAAGATGATGCATAGCTGGGCACCGTGGCTTACGCCTGTAATCCCAGCACTTTGGGAGGCCAAGGTGGGCAAATCACGAGGTCAGGAGTTCGAGACCAGCCTGGCCAATATGGCAAAACCCGATCTCCACCAAAAATACAAAAAATTAGCTGAGCATGGTGGCACACACCTGTAATCCCAGCTACTCGGGAGTTGAGGCAGGAGAATCACTTGAACCCAGGAGGTAGAGGTTGCAGTGAGCCGAGATCACGCCACTGCACTCCACCCCTGGCAACAAAGTGAGACTGTCTCAAAAAAAAGAAAATGATGCTGACAGTCTCTGTGGAAGCAGAGAGGCAAGTGAGGAGATTACTGCATTGTCCAGACTGGAGGTGTTGGTGGCTTGGACTAAGGGGGGAAAAGGGTAAGGTGAAGAGAAGCACCCACATTTGGGATGCATTTTGAAGGCAGGGCTGAGACTTGCTGACTGGTGCGGGGAGAACAAGAAGAATCAAGAATGACTTAGGTCCTTGGCCACCAGAACAGTGTGAGACAGGTGCTGAAGGAAAGAGAGAGGACTGGTGGTGAAGCAGCTTTTGGGGATGAACTCAAGTTTAGATTTGGACACATTAAATTCATAATGACTACAAGTCAAGTGGACGTATCAAGTAAGGCTGCTGGACAAACAAGTGTGCATAAACTTGGGGACTGGTGAGGGCTGGAGACATGTATGTGAGTCAGCAGTGCGTGGACGGTATTTAAAGCCTGGGGAATGGCTTAGACCACCTAGCGATAAAGAGGAGATGGCCACAGACTTGGCCCCAGAATGCAGACGTCAGGAAGAGGATCGGGACACAGAAAAAGGGGTCAGTGAAGCAGAGAAAAGCAGGAGATAATATTCTAAATCAAAATGAAGAAGAAAAAAACTTTCAAGTACAGACTGGTCCACTGAATCAACTGATGTTTAAGACTACACAAATGAAATTTTTCCAGGCACACTGTAGTTCCTTCTTCCCAAGCTCCAGCTCCTTAAAGGAAGAAATGAACCCTATCTTCTGATGAAGGTTCTGTAGCCAGGCTTTAATGCCACAGATATGGGCTCAATTGCTTATAAGTTGTATGACATTAAATAAGTTATTTCTCTGTACCTTGATATATATCCTCTGCATATCCATCACTAAATGCTCAAGTGAACTACTCCTATAATATCTCATATAAACATCTTATTCTGCTTGAGACCAGAAATTTGGGACTACCCTGGGCAACATGGTAAGTCCTCATCTCTACAAAAAATTGTTTTAAATTAGCTGGACATGTTGGTGCATGCCTGTAGTCCTAGCTACTTGGGAGGCTAAGGCAGGATGATTGCTTGAGTCCAAGGCTGCAGTGAGCTATGATCAAGCCATTGCTCTCCAACCTGAGTAACAGAGTAAGACCATCTCAAAAAAATAAAAAAGAAACTCTATCACTTTTGTGATTTTTCTTTATAGCTCTACATTAAGATCCTTTACAACTGTCTTAATTGGCCCAAACAGGATTAAGGTTATGGTCAGACTCAAACAGGACTGTGTCTGAATCTGACCTCTACCATTTATCATCTGTATAACCATGGGTGAGTTTCAGAATCTCTGAGATGTTCCTGCTCTGTAACATAATACTATATACCTCATATATGGTGGGTTATGTGAAGATTAAGAGCTAATAGATACACTTAGCAGAATAAAAGTTCACTAGACAGTACTTACCTATTTGTATCTATAACACTAATACTCTTGATGTTTGTGGACTGGTAACTTGAGAAGTAAGATACAAGCTAGGTTTCCCTTCCTCCTTCCAGAGCACTAGCATGGAGAAAGGGAGCTACAGTCAGCTGTTACTCACATCCAGTAACTTGGGAAGGGCCAAGAAGGTGGATTATCAAAGCAAATATATATCACCAATTATTCTAGAAAATATCAGGGATGTCCTCCTCCTCCGTATTTTGTTGAGTGGATCACCACTATTAAATGCAGACACTCAAGACAGAAATTCAAGCATCATCTAAGTCTTTTCCTCTCATCCCTCTGACATTTTATTAACAAGATGGCAATCTATTTTACTTTCAATATGCTATGCTTCATCAAATCTAAGATGCTGTTATGATTCTTTTATGTAGCTCTAAGAAAGAAAAAATGCCACTTAAACTGCGACAGGCCACTGACTTTTAGAAGTGTACAGGTTTGAGAGATACTAAAATGTGAGGGGAAAGAGTACACCTTGCAATTGATGAAATTCAGGCCCTCTCATTCTACCACTGCTTAGTTCAGACTCCCATCATCCCTTGCCTTGATTAGGGATGAAAGCCCCTGTCTTCCCTCTACCCAGCCTCTGCTGCCAAAATGATATTTCTAATGGCCAATATCACCAACCAACCCCAAATCCTTCTATAG